TAATTGTGTACTACCTGGCTGGTAGACATGCTCATGCAGCATGAGCGTGTCTATTAGCCAGGCAGTACACAACTATGTACTGATACTCATAATAATAAATCTTAATTAGAAAATACTGGACATTTAGATGTCCGGTATTTTCTCAATTTAGTTCCCGGACAGAAACCTCAAATACCAGACTGTCCAGTTCAAAACCGGACACCTGGCAACCCTACGAGTAGCCTTAGGGGTACTCAAGAGTAGTCTGGGGGGGTATACCAATACAACTGAAATTTGGAGAAAACTGAATTTTTGTTTCAAGTTTTACAGCGCTTTATTGTTTTTGTACTTTTTACACCCCAAAAATTTCATCTCCCACCTGGCTATGATTAAGTTGTTTAAACAAATGTGTTGCAATGGTAAAAAAATATTTGTGTATGTCTGAAAACTGTAGGTACTGAGAATTTTTTTTTTCACGGCTACTTTATAAAGAAGGTTGAGAAAACACTGCTCTAGAGTTCAGACAATGGAGGCCTGACAAGCAGTGCATGCCCAAGTGCTGTGCAGTAACTCCCCTTTGTGGATGCTGCAGGTACAAACTTAAAAGGTCTTAGTTCATACTAATGCAGTTGTTTTTGAAGAACATGTTAGTGTAAAGTTGGGTACTTTCCATTCACACCATCAGCCTCCAAGTGGGGGAGATGCAGTGCACGCCAAAGTAGTTCACTGTTATTCACACCCCCAAAGTGTCCGGATTTAGGTCTCAGACCAGCACCTTCTTCTACAGAAGCAGACTCTTGTGTCTGCACAAAGCTTCATTGAACTCCATTGGTATCTTAGGCCCTGACTGTACTGCAGGGCTTGTAGAGGCGCATGTATTTATTCTACTTGCGAGATAGGGAAGCGTTACTACCCCCATGTTTCAGAGGGAGAACTAAGGCGCACTAAGGGTATGTCTACACTACAAAGTTAATTCAAACTAACAGCCGTTAGTTTGAATTAACTTTAATAGGGGCTACACATACAAACCGCTAGTTCGAATTTAAATCGAACTAGCGGAGCATTTAATTCGAACTAGGTAAACCTCATTCTACGAGGACGAATGCCTAGTTTGAATTAAGTAGTTAGAATTAAGGGCTGTATAGCCACTTAATTCAAACTTGTTGGAGGCTAGCCCTTCCCTAGTTGCCCTGGTAGCCACTCTGGGCCAAACCAGGGAAACTCTTCTGCCCCCCCTCCCGGCCCCAGAGCCCTTAAAGGGGCATGGTCTGGCTACAGTGCTTGTGCCAGTTGCAAGCCTGCCA